GTTTGAGTCTTTAGGCCCTGTACCTGTTTGAGTCTTTAGGCCCTGTACATGTATGAGTCTTTAGGTCCTGTATCTGTTTGAGTCTTTAGGTCCTGTACCTGAGTCTTTAGGTCCTGTGCCTGTTTGAGTCTTTAGGCCCTGTACATGTTTGAGTCTTTAGGTTCAGGTCTAGGTTTTACGTTCAGTACCTGTCTGGGGTCTGTGGGTCCAGTGGGTGACGTCAGCTCGATGGTGACAGGTCCGTCGTTTTGAATGTGGACCTGCATGAAGGCTCCAAACTCCCCGTCTGAAAACATAAATGATAAAAAAGGAACAAAAAGCACAAACTAAATATTGAAGAGAACCGAAGCTGCTCAAACACCCATCAACTTCCTCCTTTAAAGTCTAACAGGACTCCTGTCTGTAATCATCTATGGGGGAAGCCATGGAGACAGAAGAGGAAGAAAAGCATGCTGGGTAATGGGGACTGCTAAGTCTAGTCTAAACGCAGACTGAACTTTGGGGGGTATGAGAAAACCCTCAGTCCTAGAGCAGAAAGAGACAAACATACCCACAATTTGATTTATAAACTAGTAAAATGTAAAGTTTAGAGGAAGAGGAGTTTATTAGTTGATATTAAGTTAGAGCCGGGCTATTCAACTAAATAGCTTCGGGGGCTGAAGAGCTAAAAGCTAACAGCTCAGGACGCCTGGCACGTTTTGTCTCTACTGGGGCTGCCACAGGAAGAGCGTAGGAAGCACTGCAGGGCTCTGTGGACACCACCCCCGACAGGCAGACCCCTTCAGAGTCACTTCAGCAACTTTTCCAGTTTTCTGATTTAAAACATGGTTTTAGTTTAAATGAGCTCACCAGTCCAGATGTGGCCCCTGGACCACCAGTTGAAGAGCCCTGGGTTAGAGTGTGTGACATCACCAGAACGAACATGTAAACTCCATGTCCAGCTGTGATTGTGTAGAAGTGTTAAAGATGTGAAAACAGAACTTCAGTCATTAAAGCCCAACTTCCTGCGACCCGTTTAAACTCCGTCCGAGTCCGGTCCGGTCCGAGCTGGAGCTCTAAACTGGGTTTGAATTAAATACCACTGATGTCTACAGGGGAAACATTTCACTGAGTCGGAGCTCCGTGATTCTGACTGAGCTGCGTGTTGTTGTTTTTAATCTGTTGAGAGGAAATGAAAACTAAGAGCACGGAGCGAACAGTATCGGAGGTTCTCTTGGATCGGCACCAGAACAAATCATTGGATTCGGTTGTTTAATCTAAACGTTACACAACCTTGCAGGGATTACAGATGTTTGGAGGCTTCATGTGAAGCTCGGGACAAAAAGCTGCAGAGGAAGAACAGGAAGTTCCAGATTTAACGTTCTCCTTTCTCCTCTCAGGTTCTTCAGATTGACGACGCCTTCAGAACAATGAAGCTGTGGGCCGAACCGCAGAACCGCAGAGTCATCATGTTTCCTCTCAGGAGCTGTCTGTGTGTGTGTGAGGGGGGTGGGACTAATTAGGAAGACTTGCGTCCCCTAGCTGGGACAAGGTGTTCTCTGCACCTGCTCCCCTGTGGGCCAACCCAGTTCACCAGCACCGTCAGCGGTACCGATAATCCGCCCAGCTCTCTGCAGCACCGCCCAACTGAGAGCAGGCAGGTAAACAGCAGCCGGAGGAGCAGAGACGGGTCAGAACTCAGGAGTGGGTCAATAATGAGGAGAGAAACACCACAAGGCCAAGAAGCTGAAGGTTTCTGGACCTCTGCGGCTGTTTGTGGATCAGAACCTGGCTCTAAAGACCACCACATCATCAGTGTCCGGTTCAAGAACTTCTGTCCAACAATAAATGTGCAACTCAGCATTATAATTCTGTGACTCAGCATTAGAACTGTGTGATTCAGGATTATAACTGTGTGACTCAGCATTATAATCCTGTGACTCAGCATTAT